CTGTGGACAAAGATTCACACTTTTGGTTTGCCTTCTGTTTTAATGGAAAAAGATTTACTTTTACCAGACTTTGCCAGGGCTTGAACTCAAGTCCCTCATTGTTCTCTGAGGCTCTGAACCACAGTCTTGCGTCTCCTGTGTTGATAGACGGGACTGTTTTGATTAATTATGTGGATGATTTGATGATTGCTAGCCCCACAAAAGAACAGTGTGAAAAGGACACAATTAGGCTTCTCCAACACTTGGCTGATGAGGGTCACAAGACTTCTGTTTCAAAGTTGCAATTTGTCAAACAAAGTGTTGTGTTTTTAGGCCACATTATAACCCCTGAGGGTAAGACTTTGTCACCAAAGCCTGTGACGGCAATAGTTGATGCTCCAAAGCCTTCAAACAAAAAGGAACTTTACTTTTTTGGGGATGTGTTCATATTGCAGACATTTTGTTGTCAATTTCTCAGAGATGGACAAACCTCTACGTGATATGACTGTGGGAAGGAACATGTGTGCGTCCTCCCCCCTTGTGTGGACCCCAGAGCAGAGCAGGCCTTTACAGACTTGAAAATTGCTTTACAATCGACTCTGGGGATCCCCGACCCAAACAAACCTTTTGTTCAGTTAGTTGACGAAAGATGTGGGTGCATGACATTAGTGCTTTTGCAAAAGTAAGTAAGTATTTATATACCGCCTTTTCACTGAGTCTCAAAGCGGTTTACAATTGTTATTTTTTGGGCATTTGTCTCTCACTCCACACAGAGATGGGAGCGGGGTCGCCAGTACAGGAGGCGCATGCCAGACCTATTATACATATTTTTAGTGGTAGGGGAAACCGGAGTACCCGGAGGAAACCTACGCAGACACGGGGAGAACATGCAAACTCCACTCAGAAAGGCCCTGGTCCGACCGGGATTCGAACCCAGGACCTTCTTGCTGAGAGGCGAGAGTGCTATCCACTCAGCCACCGTGCCGCAAAAACATGGAGATCTTTTGAAACCTGTCGGTTATTTTTCAAAACTTCTTGATCCTGTGGCGAGAGGTTCGCCTGCTTGTTTGAGAGCCATAGCTGCTTGTGAAACAGCAGTATTGGCGTCATGTGACTTTGTTGGGTTCTGCCAGCTTATTTTGTTTGTTCCACATTCTGTTGCTTTGATACTGCAGGAGCAGAAATCTTCACATCTTTCTGCATCTCGGTGGCTTCGATATCATACAACGCTCTTGGGATTGCCACATAAGTGCTCTACACTCAATCCTGTCACATTGTTGCCCCTCCCTGGAGAGGGCACACCACACTCGTGCATGGCAGAGCTGAATCAGATCTGTACCCCAAGACCAGATCTTTCTGATACACCATTGACTAACCCTGATTTAATTCTCTCTATAGATGGATCGGCATATCGAGACCCGGACACCGGACGGTTGCATGCAGGATACGCTGTGGTGGATGACCACTCAGTCGTGATTTCTTCCCCTCTTCCATCAATGTTCTCAGCACAAGTGGCAGAGCTAGTGGCTTTGACAGAGGCGTGTAAATTTGCAAAGAAACGCTCTGTTACGATATTTACCGATTCTCGCCATGCATTTGGAGTGACGCATGATTTTGGAGCGCTGTGGAAACATAGAAACTTTCTCAAATCAGACGGAAAACCAATTTTACACCACAAACATGTTGCAGCACTGTTGGAAGCTATTTTTCTCCCTTCTCAGATTGCAGTATGTAAGTGTTCTGTACACACTGCTGCGATTGACTGTTTCCTTGGGCAATGCCAGGGCAGACAGAGCTGCTGCTAAACAGCCTCTCCCTGCCCCATGCTGTCCCCCCAGAGACCCCTCCTCTTTCCCCTCCCGCCTCTTTGGAGGATCTTTGCTCACTATCTTCCCCTGAGGAGAGGCGCACGTGGGCGGAGTCTGGTGCTGTGTTCCAAAATGGCATTTGGGTAGGCCCAGATTTGAAGCCATGTTTTCCCAAAATATTATTTCATTGTTATGCTAAGTTGACACATGGGTTGGACCATGTGTCAAAGGGGAATATGTTTCAAGCAGTCCAACAATTTTGGTTCACAAAAGGGTTTTCTACATTTGCTGCAAAATTTTGCAGAAGCTGCACAGCAAAATTGCGAGTGTTAATTTAACTCCTATAGTGTTAATTTTAACACTTTTTCTGAGTTTATATAGTTCTTACTGATTTTGAGTTAAAATTACACTTTTCAAAGTGTTAATATTTTAACTCTTTAATAGTGTTAAAATTTGACACCCTTGGTGTTGTTTGATGACACCACAGAAGTGCACTTTTAACTCACAATTGTGTTATTCCCTTTCACCATGAGTGTTAATTTTCAACATACACAGTGTTATTTTATGACACATTAAAGTGTAGTTTTAACACTACAATTGTGTTATTTACTTTCACCATGAGTGTTAGTTTTAGCATAGTGTTATTTTAGGACACTGAAAATTCTTGTAGTCAGCTGCTAGGCTACAGAAAGTTTAAATGTGTGACCAGTAACAATGATCGAGTAATAAAACATACGTACATACATGTCTTTCATTTTTTTATTAAACAAAATGAATAACTTCCCAGCACCATATAGGGATTAGAACAATAAGATCAGGCACAAGTTAAAACATTTAAAAAGAAAATAATGGCACAATATATTGGCTCTCATCTCCACCATAAGCACTTTGTAAATCAAAGGGCTTATAAATCACAAGACTATCTGCTTTAACAACATCTTTGTCATTACTTTCGAAGACTTTGTAAGCATGAAAATGTTCATTGAAATGGTCAACCACAAGCTTGTTTACAAGGAAGCAGATAACACTGTCAAGAACAATAATTTTTTCTATTCTGCAAAACACAGGCATTTCCTGTTCAATCTCACTGCAAATTATTAATCCTGCCCTGTACTCTGTCCCACTGATTGTAACCCAGTTAGTTGCATGGATGTCTTGCGATACAGACTCAACATGCAAAGCTCGAGCCAACACATCTCCATAGTCCTCATTGTCCACATTAATAGATTTCATTGGTCCATACTCAATACATTTTGAACGTGATGTCTCCCACTGACACGCAATAGACATTTGATGTTTTTTTGCAAGAGATTTTGTGATGTTTTTGAAGTTTTTAAGAGTATTTTTGAAAATCCGATGTTTAGCCTCAAATCTCATGCTCCACATATGTATTAGTGGTCCAATTTTCCAGATACAAGATGGATAGTGTATCAAAGTGATGTTTCGGGATCAGGTTTCTATTAGGATACAGTGTTTTGAACAACTCATGATGTTCCATTATCAAATGCTTGAGAAGTACAGTCATGCCAAGTGTAACAGATGGAAAAAATATAATGTTAATTATCTGCAGTAAAAGCAGCAGCAAAAACCAGTTTTGGTTTCCTTCTTGCACAATGTCACCAAAAAGCAGAGGAATGTTTCTTACAAGACAAAGGGTCTGAATGGAATTGAGCCCTATATTATTGCCACTACTGTCCAAGTTAATCCTTGTAGGTCGATTTTTGCGCTCCACGTACCCATAGTCAAAGGCATACATTCTAGACAACAGGTCAGGTTTCGACAAAACATTTTCGGAGAGATATTCCAACAGTAACTTCAGCTCAAACTGAGCCACGCCTTCAAGAATGTCATGCATAATATCCAAAGAAAAATTATGACTGACATGAAAGAACTGTAGGCTGTTTAGACTCGAGTTCTTTTTTAAACCAAACACAGATAACTTCTGTGGGTCTGACTGCAACTCATTGTAGTGCATTTCAAAAAGTTCCTTTCCACGCAAGATTATCTTGGGGTCATCCTCATTGTAAACAATCTGGGCATCATGTTTTTCTATCAAACATAAACGACAAATAACGTCCATTGAAAGACTCAGTAAATCCCAAAATTGCATGCATACCTAAGTTGTCCCCGGTTATCTGACATATGGTGCCATGAACCTTTTCAGCAGAAAATGGCAAATCTAGGCCACAACTCTCAAGTGTTTTGATGTCATTAATCAGTGGCTCTAGAATAGGATTAAAGCCATATTTTTTCAAATCTTCAGTGTGAAACAATGCAACCAAATGAATATTCATCAAGGCAGAGTTGAACTTTGGTGGCAGATTTCTGAGGACAAAATACAGAGCGCCTATTTTGTGAACACCACGTTTTGAACCCAGTGGGTTAGCTGTCTCAAAGTCGTCATAGAACAACTGAATTTGTAAAGAATTCCGGTGTTTAGAGAACAACGTATGCGTTTTGTAATAACTTCCATCATAAAAGTCTTCGTATCTGTTAGGTCTCGATACACAAGTTTCCCCTAGAAGTTTACAAATATCAGTATTTCGACACATGAATTTTATCGTTTCCAAAATTGGTATGTAAATGAATGTATCGTTCACTGGGACTTGATCATAAGTACCTGTTTGTTTATTTCGTCTTGTATTAAATCGAATTCCTAGAAATTTTTCAACTGGCTCCACAATACCCCATTTCTTGTTGAAATAATTCCATCTTTTACTTTCAGTATTGAAGTTAATGAATGGGTTTTCAAAAGTCTCCAGATCTTTTTCCAATGTAACTCTTACAGGATTATCTTTAGGCACAGCAGACAGAACTTGCTGCTTAACCTGAGAGTGCAGTCCACTAGCAAGTTCTTCCAAATCACCAACAACTGATGAAACAACATTACTTGTTATGCCTTTTCCTTGTAGTTTCGCAATAATTGAAGCGCAAATATTTTCTGTGTTCTCTCTGTTTCTTTGAACTAATCCAATGTCCTCAAAACACTCAGCTTCTGGGTTCTGCATGGCACTTGTTCCAGCAACTTCTGAGGTATCTTGGAGCATGTGGAAATTAGTTTGAAATGACTCTGGCATTGCCGCATCTCCACTTTGACAAGAATCCTTCTCATGAATTAAATGTTTTTTGAAACCAGAATATGTTGAAAACTGACGCCTACAACGATCTTGTGCACAAACTAACTTAAACCTGGTGCTAGGATAAAAACTGTGATCAAGCCTTAGATGAGAGATCAAAGACTGGCAGGGAACATGCACAGCCTGACAAATGAAACACTTAAACATTTCAGTACTTCAATTGAGGACTTTAGCATGTAACTCCCGAACACTGGGAGACTCATTTGTTGTTGCTATGTCGATATTGTAGACTGTTGTTTGCACAAATGTGAAGAGCTGGCCAAGGCACTCATCGTATGACAGGTTGAACACGTAGTGGGATTTAAACAGTTCATCAAACGCACCCAACGAGGTAGTCGCTTGGCAGGGGATGAGCTGTTTGTCCACAACAATGTAGAAAGTGTCAATCCTGTTCCTGGTTCGACCAACAGCAAGGATGTAAGGTTGTCTGCCATCTCTTCCACGAAGGTGTTCATCCAAGCTGCAGCATGACTGAAAACAGAAAGATAACCCCTTACACTAAAGTTTTCAACTGCTCACTTGGATCTGTGCATCAGAAAAGTTGAATTATTAACAAGCCATGACAAAGTGTGTGTGTGTGTGTGTGTCTCAACGTGAGGACATTCAGTCTAGTCTTTTTGTTTGACTGTGCCTTTCCAAGTCATTTCAAATTGAGTTAATACATATAAAATACCCGCTAATTGGATATAAAATGTAAAAAAAAAAAAAAAAAACATGCATACCTTGTGAAAGTGCAACATTTTGTTCACTGCATCACTGGAGCTTATCTTTGTCCTTTTCCGTCCAGCTGTGGGTGGTAGGAGATGGAGAAGGAGCAGCAAAGAAGCCATGTCACTGTCCCAGGCTATCAGAAGGAAAATGAGATGAAACAAGCCATTAGTATTAAGTTAGAATACACAAATAAAAATAAAATAAAAATCAATCATGTCAATTAGCTTACTGGTTTCATCGTTCTCTGCGGGTTTCTCAGCAGCTTTTTGAAGTCGGCACAGCTCAACTGACTGAGTCAGGTGTTTTGCCTCATTGATGACCTTGGGCCTGAAAGTTGTATCCCACTTCTCAAGCATCTTGGAGGATGTTTTAGCTCCAAACAGCAGAAAGAAGTCTTGATTCAGCTAAATACAATTTTTTTTAAAATGTTAGAGTATTGTACTTACATTCAAGCAAAAAACCATGAAGTGTAAATAAATGAAAAGGACAACTCACCAGCCCTTTGACATCCAAAAAACGTGGAAATGTTTTAAAGACATCTGTGGTTCTCTGTGGGTCATGCACTAGGTCTTGGCGATATTGAAAGGTCATCTTCATCTTCTGAAACACACTTGCTTCATCCTGAGAGTGATTGAGAAAAGATATGGCTTCCCTGCAGGCATCTCCATCAAGTTGCTCAGGCAAAGTGGCTGCTAGTCTTCTGAGCTTTGGTCCTTGTGCTAGAGGCACTGTAGCCGTCTTGGCTGGTCTTTTTAAAGTATTCCTGGACATAGTCTTAAGGCGCCATGCTAAATATCCAGTGCCTTTCTCCGCATCATAGAAGTGCTCCTGTTAAGATATTTATAAAACATTACAAAAAGAAAAGTAGTAACATTATTATGGTAATAAAAGGATAATCCCTTTAAAGTATGTTTACCATTTTTTAATTCATGTGTAGTATCCTATTTACTGAATTCATTCTGATTTCAAGACAGAGCAAAGTGGAACTTTGTAGCAATATTTGAAAATGTAACCCATGTTTAATGTTATGACCAGTTAAGGACCCACACCAGTCATAACAGGGATATGTGAAACAATCATTGAAACACAGAGTCACTTAAGGAGTTTGGCAATGTCTATATTCAAGAGCCAAACTAAAAAGAAATAACAGTGGTGGGAGGAGTGGCGTCGCCCAGTTGTGCCAAAAGAACAAAAGTAAAATATAACAAAAGAGGCCTAACTCACAGGCTAGTCTAATAAAAGAAATGAAATAAAAAATGTCTATTCTGTTTTATCTAAAGAAAAGTGGAGTAGAACTCAAAACAACAAGGGTGGTCACAACTGATAAGCTAGGGAATCTAACAAAGGTATCTACGTTTTGTAAATGTAACTTAGCACCAAACTCACCTAACCAAACCTCCACACAGAAACAAATTAGGCTACCACCTGGCAGCTTCTGGCACCTGAGAGAGAGAGAGAGCCGCCCAAGACACTCCCCGTTTAAATACTCTCCAATTTGCCCCCACTCCACCAATCATGCACCATCCTCCTCCAGGGCACGCCCACAGCACCTTCACACAGAAGCAGAAGGGAGAGAACAGCAGCACACAGGGAAAGACAACTCTGATGCACGTAACACCCCCACCCTTATAAATTCGAGCAGGGTTCGAATATGGCCAGTGGACATCAAGGGACTCTAGAAAGTGCATCAGCAACTATGTTCTCTGATCCTTTTTTGTGCTTTATTACCAGGTTGTAGTTTTGCAGGATCAATGACCATCGCATAAGGCGTTGATTGTGGTTATACATTCGTGAGAGGAATGTAAGAGGGTTGTGATCCGTATACACGAGGGTGGCCTGGGAACCAATATAAATTTCAAAGTGCTGCATAGCCAATAGCAGAGCGAGAGTTTCCTTTTCAATCGTGGAGTACTTTAATTGATGCTTGTTGAACTTACGTGAAAAGTAACTCACCGGATGATCGATGCCCTGATCACCTTCTTGAAGGAGAACTGCTCCTGCCCCCGCCATGCTGGCATCCACCTCTAGCTTGAATGGCCGCTGAAAGTCTGGAGCTGACAAAACAGGAGTGCAACACATCATAGCCTTTAAGCTCTCAAAGGACTTCTGACACTCCTCGGACCATACAAATGGCTTGGCAGGACTGGTGAGGGCAGTCAGGGGGGCAGCAACTGTGGAGAAGTTTTTACAGAACCTGCGATAGTATCCAGCCATCCCAAGGAATCGACGTAGCTCCCTTCGGGCCGTTGGAGCGGGGAAGGCAACGATTGCAGCGATTTTGGCCTCCACAGGGCACACCTTTCCACTGCCAACCTGCTGACCCAGATACTGCACCGTGCCCTGTCCGAATTCACATTTTGAAAGGTTCAGTGTTAAACTTGCAGCAGACAGACGCCCAAAAACCACCTTCAATGTCGCCACATGAGTTTCCCAATCAGGGGTGTAAATCACAATGTCGTCCAAATAAACTCTACAATGGGGTACGCCTCCCAACACTTTGTTTACCAACCTCTGAAAAGTCGCCGGGGCGTTGCAGAGACCAAATGGCATGACTGTGTACTGGAGGAAGTAGTCTGGAGTCACAAAAGCTGAGATTTCAGAAGCATGGGGGGTTAACGGAACCTGCCAATATCCCTTCAGCATGTCGAGTTTACTCACAAAGGCTGCAGGACCAATCTCATCGATGCAGTCGTCAATCAATGGCAGGGGGTGCGCATCGGGCACTGTCACTGCATTGACTTTTCGGAAGTCTGTACAAAACCTGGGGCTCCCATCAGCTTTTGTCTCAAGGAGACAGGGGGAACTCCATGCACTTGAACTGTGGACAGCAAGTCCATTGTTGAGCAGATATTCTGCTTCTTTCTTCAGTATCTCCCGTTTAGCAGGACTGACCCTGTAAGCGCGCTGCTTAATCGGTGCTGGGTTAGTCAGGACTATGTCGTGCGAGATAACAGTAGTCTGTGAGGGAGTGTCACTGAACAGCGTTGGAAAGTCCAGTATGACCTGAGTGATGTCATCACTTTTGTCTTTGGGGAGATCTGACAAATAACTGGTCAAGTTTCTTAGGACTTGGCTGTTGCTTAGCCTAGCCCCCTGGGGTGTAGCGCTTTTCATGAGCAGGCCATCCTCTGACTCCGTACTCACCCCTACATAAGCAGCAACAGGAGATGTCTTCTCGTCGCCACAGGCACTGGCCGGTGGTTGCTGCTCACCCCGTGTGCTGTAGAGCTTCAACATATTCACATGACAGACCCTTGAGCGCCGCCTTCGGTCCGGTGTGTGAATGACGTAATTTGTGTCACTCAGCTTCTGGTCTACAACATAAGGGCCAGCGAATTTAGTGGACAATGATGAGCCAGGTATTGGCAAGAGGAGCAGAACCTTGTCTCCAGGCTGGAAGCTGCGAACAACAGCCTTCCTGTCAAAATGCTGCTTCATTTTGATCTGGGAGGAGGCCAAGGCCTCTTTAGCTAGGGCACAAGCTTGCCTTAGACGATCCCTCAGCGTAGTGACATACTCTGGGATGTTTCTGACAGTCCTCTGAGGTGTAATGAGGTGCTCTTTTAGGATTTTCAAAGGACCTCGGACCTCATGGCCAAAGACTAGCTGGGCTGGGCTGAACCCCAACGACTCCTGTACAGCTTCTCTCGCAGCGAACAGTACAAGGGGCACACTTTCATCCCAGTGTCTTTGTGACTCAAAGCAGTGCTTCCTCAACATGGACTTCATCGTTTGATGGAACCTTTCGAGCACACCTTGACTCTCTGGGTGATAAGGACTAGAAGTCACTTGTTTGATGCCCAATGTGTGCAGAGCGTGTGCAAAGACCTTTGACTTGAAGTTGGTTCCCTGGTCACTTTGGATGATCTTCGGTAGACCAAATGTTGAGAAGAACTTTACCAGAGCTCTAACGATGACCGGAGACGTGATCTTCCGCAGAGCAACCGCCTCGGGGTACCTGGTGGATGCACACATAATTGTAAGCAGAAACTGATTTCCCGTCTTAGTTCTTGGCAGTGGTCCCACACAGTCAATAATGACCTTCTCAAAAGGCTCACCCATTACCGGTATAGGGGACAGCGGGGCAGGGGGAATCACCTGATTTGGCTTCCCTGTCATCTGGCAGACATGACATGTGCGACAGTAGTCAACTACATCAGACTTTAGTCCAGGCCAGAAGAAATGTCTGAGCAGCCTATTGTAGGTTTTCGCAATACCCATATGTCCTGACCACGGATTGTCATGGGCTAAGGACAGTACCTGGGCACGATAGACTTTGGGCACCACAACTTGATACAGAACTTTTTCATCTCCCGTGCCGGTGACATCGCTGCTCCAGCGGCGCATGAGTAGTCCCTCGTCCATAAGGTATCCCACTTTGTTGGCTCCGCTCCCTTCCTGTTCAACAACAGAAAAACATTTTGAAAGTGATGAGTCACCTTTCTGGGCTGTGATGAACGCCGCTCTTGTGGCTGGTAGCGGGATCGCATCCAGAGCAGCTGGAGTCCTTGATGTGACATCTGGTTTCGCTTGGAAAAACTCTTCAGTAGCCATGAAACTGTCGGACAGGTCAACAGTGTTCTTAGATTGGGACCTGGTCACAGCGCATGCTGGAAATACGTTTGGGGACTCAAGCTCAGTGCTCTGCTCAGTGCGCTCAACCAACTGTGGAACAGGGACCACTTTACTGCCTGCTAAATCGTTGCCCAATATGAAGTCGATGCCCCTGATTGGCAGGGCAGGGAGTACAGCGACTTTCACAAGACCTTTAACCAATGCGGACCATAAGTACACATCGTGTAGAGGGGCTGGGATAAAACTCATCCCTACTCCCTGAACAACGGCGCTAGCATGACATGAAGTCTCATCTGAGAGTGGAAGTATACCAGCCCTGATGATGGACTGAGAACCCCCTGTGTCTCTCAGAATGGTCACTGGTCTCCGGTCACTACCGCTCCCTGTCATAGCAACGTAACCATCTGAAACAAACGGTCTAAACCAGGGGTCAACCTCAGCGCACTTAGGGTTCAGAGTGTTCAATAACGGGGGGTTAGAGCTGATCAAACCAACACCTTTTGGCTGTGATGGCTGTGGCTTATGCATGCGCTTCAGTGTCAAACAATCAGCCACTACATGACCTTTTCGGTGACAAAAGAAGCACTCACGCTCCTGTCGTGGGGGAGACCTTGTGGGTTTGGTCCTTTCCGAGGATCCACTCCTGTCTGGACCAGGAGTCATAGGACGGGCCAACCTGTCCGAACGGGGAGAGGCAAAGATATTTTTGTGCGTTAGTACAAATTCATCAGCGAGCACAGCCGCTTTGGATAGTGTGGTCACCTTCTGTTCGTTCAGGAACAGTGACATTTTATCAGACAGCGTGTTCTTGAAATCTTCAAGCAGAATTAACTGCCGGAGGGACCCAAAGTCTCTCACGTCATTGGCTGCACACCATTTGTCAAAAAGCAGCCCTTTCTCCCGTGCAAACTCTACAAATGTTTGACCATTTGCCTTCCTGTGCTCTCTGAACTTTTGCCTATAGGCCTCTGGGACCAGCTCATATGCACGTAATATGGACCCCTTTAAAGTGTCATAATCTAAACTCTCGTTCAGAGACAGAGAGGACACAACTTCTTGTGCTTTGCCCACTAGCTTGCACTGCAGAAGTATAGGCCACATGTCTTTGGGCCAGTTGAGTGCAGTAGCAATCCTTTCAAACGCACCAAAATAGGCATCGACTTCCCGTTCACGGAAAATCGGAACTAGCGCTATGTTTTTAGTGACGTCGAAGGAATGCTTTGGATGCCCCGTTTCAGCCTGTGAAGCGGGTTCGGATCTGTGAGAATCAACTTCCGCAGCTGTAACTCTCATTGCCTCCAACTCAAGCTGACGTAACTTCACCTCTTTTTCAGCTTGTATCTCAAGACTGCGTACCTGCAACTTGAGCTCGTAGTCTGCCTTACGCACCTTCTCCTCTGTCTCAAGCTGAAGACGAGCCAGGCGAAGCTTAATCTTGGCGGTGGAACTGGCTTGGCCTTGTCCGGTCCCAGGCGGAGACACACCACTCACCCCCGCATCTGGAGAGAAAGGCTCAAAACGAGGGAGGGTTCCCGGAGGGTTCGCCACCTCCCTTACTCGTACTGGAGTGACCTCCGTCACCACATCCTGTTCAGAAAGAACATCCTTTTGGTCGTCCTCAAACCCCTCCGAAGCCACTTCACCATGCGGGTCACTGGGGTTGGGAGACAGGATTCCGAGAGTGATCAGCCCCTCAATGAGTACCCGCTTAATCTCTCTCTTAAGGCTCTGTTTCTGGACAGAAACACCAAAGTGAGCCGCAATGCACAAAAGGTCGTCTTTGCGACACCGGTCAAGGATTTCCAGAGAGGGAGTCTCAATGAAATCCTGTAGAATAAACACCATGATTGCTCTCTCTCTAAACACTAATGAACACACTGAGACAATGATTGTTTCAAATGATCCCGGACGAGCCCCCACTTTTGTTATGACCAGTTAAGGACCCACACCAGTCATAACAGGGATATGTGAAACAATCATTGAAACACAGAGTCACTTAAGGAGTTTGGCAATGTCTATATTCAAGAGCCAAACTAAAAAGAAATAACAGTGGTGGGAGGAGTGGCGTCGCCCAGTTGTGCCAAAAGAACAAAAGTAAAATATAACAAAAGAGGCCTAACTCACAGGCTAGTCTAATAAAAGAAATGAAATAAAAAATGTCTATTCTGTTTTATCTAAAGAAAAGTGGAGTAGAACTCAAAACAACAAGGGTGGTCACAACTGATAAGCTAGGGAATCTAACAAAGGTATCTACGTTTTGTAAATGTTAGTGATGGGTCGTGCCGCGTCGGCGCTTCGGGGCGTGAGCCGAGAAATCCCTGAAGTTTTTATCGGAGCGCGGGCCGAAGCCTGAGTTGTTTTAGATGAGTGACGTCACTAATGACGTTTGAAGCCTCGGGAGCACAGGAAATGGAGCGATTCATGAAGTACTGCAGAAGATCTGCTCAAACTGTGTGTTTGTCTTGGTGATTAATGTAGTCAGTGATGGAGAGGGTTGTGGTATCAGCTGGTTGGCTCAATTGATAGAGAAGCAGGGCTGGGACCTGGGAGACCGGGGTTCGAATCTCACCGGGAGTGCGTTGATGTAAATACACGTGAAAGAATTTTGTCAGAAATGTTTTGGTTTTAAACAACTGATGGGGTCACAATCCCAAATGATATCCCCATTTGTGTCACGTCCTTTGAAAAGCACTTACACTTTCAACATGTCTTTTGTCCCATTGGATTTATAACATTGATTTTGACTTGAAAAGCTATAATCATTCATCATTAAATATGTATATAAATATATATCTACATATATGTATGTGTGTGTGTGTGTGTATTAGAGCAGACAACTGTACCAGTTACCAGTACATTATATTTTATTGTCATTTAAAATATATTCATTTTCACTACTGATATTGATCATAATGAAACAGATGAATTAATGGGTCATACACAATCAAATTTACATTTTTATTTCTGTTACCAGTATTAATTCCTATGCACCAAGAGCCTCACAAACAGTTCAATTGTCAATACAGATTTTGACCAACAGGAGGTTTGTGAGCATATGAAGCATCAAGAAATGAACCTTTTCTCGAACCAATGGATGAAAAGGTTCAACACTTCATGAAGCTTCATCAACCCATCACTAGTAAATGTAACTTAGCACCAAACTCACCTAACCAAACCTCCACACAGAAACAAATTAGGCTACCACCTGGCAGCTTCTGGCACCTGAGAGAGAGAGAGAGCCGCCCAAGACACTCCCCGTTTAAATACTCTCCAATTTGCCCCCACTCCACCAATCATGCACCATCCTCCTCCAGGGCACGCCCACAGCACCTTCACACAGAAGCAGAAGGGAGAGAACAGCAGCACACAGGGAAAGACAACTCTGATGCACGTAACATTTAAACTATATTTTTTTTTAGACTTAGGTGGTGTCAGTTATTTTTTTACAAATACAAGAAGGAAAGAATGTCAACACTATTTTCATTAACTGATCAGCAATCATTTGAACTAAAATCCCCAAACCACTGATGATTTTTACATACAACACACAACTTACATAGCCCTGGGGAAAAGGGATCCTTTAGTGAAGGGAAGAGTGTGATAATTCCCAGGGCATACTTCTCCTTATGTTTACGGGAAGGCATCCTCCTTTAGAAACAACATTCCAAATCAGTCACCCACTTGCTATGTTAATGCAATGCAATACATTTTGAAAATCCATCATAATTTTTCTTAATGTTTACAATCTAACAATTCACTTTACACTCACCCATGGATCTCAGTCATATGGCTAGCCAATATGTTGACAAGCTGTCTCCGGGTGCGGTGAGTGACCGACTTTTCTGCATTGTACTCTTCGATGACATCCTCACCCCCAGGTTTGCAAAGCAAGGCATTTTTTACCATCTATTCGTGTTAGAAAAAATAAAGTTTTCAGTGTACAAATCAGTCTTTCAGGAATACATTTTAAAAATATACCACAAGATTAAGAGTAAAAGTTCAAATAACTGGGTCAAGAAGGTTTCTTACAAAAAATGGATCACCAATTTTAGCAAAAAAAAATCTAAACCAATTGTTTAGCTGATTATGCAAGCGCAATATGATTTTATGATGAAGGCAGCAATCTTTTTTTTTATCCAAGTACAGAGCTATTAGCGAAACTTAAATCTTTTTAAATGTCACAAATACTCTGATGAGAAACCGATTTAGCATGACACTTGATGATCAACAATGTAAATTACATCTGCTGCCCTTCAGTACCTCTTTTGCAGCCTCTAACTCAGAGAACTCTGTGTTAGGCCTGGGTATGACTTGGCTGGATGTACATCTGCCTATGGGAATCCCATGTTCTATTCGACTGGAATGGTCTTTGTCACTTGAAAGTGATGTGTCGGTATCCGTGAGGGAGGTTGATGTGGAATGATCTAAAGGAGAGAAGTCTGAAAGAAATAACATAACTGTGACATGCCTGAAATCTAGCATTTGGTGGTTTCCCAGACACTAGTTTGTTTGTTTTTGCAATTAGATACAGATCTTTCTTTTAAATATAATTTTTTATGATCTATTCTGTTGTAGTAGACAAGGCAGAGACATGACATCTCAACTTTGTGAAGCAGAAAAACCTTGAACATTGATTACAACTGATTTTAGACTGTATACCTTCTTCTGAAATTCCATCTTGTGTTGTTGGACTTGGACCAGGATCAATCTGTATCTCAAGAATGATGTCTTGTGCCGGTGTCTGAGCTGGATAATTAGGGTTAGTAGATTTCATGTGATCAGAATCAAAACAAAAAACTACATAACTATTAAAATATAAGATGAAGAAAAGAATTTGATTATAAAGCATTATTGATTTATGGAAAAAAGAAATTTACCTACCTGCATCAGGAATTCTGTCACGTACTGTCAGGCATAAATCTGGACTGGCCTCTATCAGTTCAGAAAAGATGTCTTCCTCGACTACGGTGTTGGTTTCATCAAAAACGTCGGTAGCATCAGGAAGCCCAAACTTGTATCTAACTGTAAGATAACCATGAAAACAGATGTATAATTGATACCCAAAATGAAAACCAAAATAGCCATACTAAATACATAAATGCTTGTGTTTATTTGTTGTGGAGGTAACTTTAAGATGGCTACTCACCTTTAGCAATGAAATCCAAAAAGGTGAACTCTGACAGTAATCGGATGTACTTCTTGGTATTCTGGTACTTCACCTTGAGCAACATTGCCACATCTTTAGACTGCACCTTGTAGAATAAGTGGAGAAATGTGGCTGTTAAACATACTTCATCAGGTTTTAATTTTAAAGACTGAGACAGATGTGGTCCCTATGAGAAATTCATGCAACAAACAGCACTCAAGCAAAACAAACTGAATCTCTTTTTAAGTATAACATGTTTTAACGTTCAAAATGGAGCAGGGCATTTTGAGATGTCCGCTGTGACAATTCTTTTGAACAGCTCTTTATGAACTAGGGAAACTAATTTATTTTAGTCTCCACATGAATATCCATTGGTGGCTACTCATCATCTTTACATTGACTGTGTACCCTAAACAAAAAATAGAGGGCTCTTGGACAGAATAGGCTAGAGCAGGGGTCACCAACCTTTTTGAAACCAAGAGCTATCTCTTGGGTACTGATTAATGCGAAGGGCTACCAGTTTGTTACACACTTAAATAAATTGCCAGATATGGCCAATTTGCTCAATTTACCTTTAATTCTATGTTTTTACTAATAATTAATGATATTTATTTTGTGGAAAAACTTTTATATTTTCTCTAAATGCACATTTTTCAAACTTAACAAATTATCACTTCTAAGACAGTCCCATTTAATCGCAATTAATCACATTTTAATCGCATATAAATATTTGACCTGAGAACAGTGAAGTAATTTTTTTCACATGGATTTTTAGTTTACCATTGAATAATGACTGAATACATGAGGCTTAAGCAACACATGTTAATATGGAGTTTAAGGGATAACTTCTAAACATCAAATAACGTTTCTGTCATTGCCTCCACACTCTGACGACAACATATGCTCCTCCTCCTGCTCCTCACACTGACGACAACATACTCTTTTTAAGCCCAAAATCCACTGCACACGCTGTGAGCACTAAAGCTGGGCATGCGCTGTTTGCTAAAGCTTTTATAATACGTTTTTGATGTGTGCATTCGGAGTAAACATCAGCATTAGCAGCTCACACACCTGTGTCTCGCTCCTCCTTCTCCTTCTCCTCCTCCTCCGCTCACACAGGAGTCACTGCTCCTCCTCCTCACACACAGAGTCCATCGCTCCATACACAGCGCTCATTCCCGTCTAATTTACTCGAATTTAAAGTTGGTCTCTGCTTGTAATAATGTACTTTTGAACAAGAAAAGTCACGGAGCTCCGGTTGGTGCGTCAGTTCAATTGGTCCGTCTGAAACTTATTCAGTGAGGAATGTTCCGCGGTGCAAAAATACATACGATTAAAATGCGTAATTTTTTTAACGCGCTTTTTTGTGTGTAATTAATTAATCTTTATTAACTTGTTAAAGTCCCGGCTCTAGTTTATATGACATTTGTAAGTTGCATGTAAGTATGATTTAAACAAGAACAGCACTGGTAAGTGCTGCCATTTGAGCTATTTTTAGAACAGGCCAGCGGGCGACTCATCTGGTCCTTGCGGGCGACCTGGTGCCCGCGGGCACCGCGTTGATGACCCCTGGGCTAGAGCCATAAGATACGACTCCCTTCAAAGAGCCCCAAATATCATCTCATCTGCCTGATGCATGCGCCTTGCCTGATTCAAACGGTATATTTTAGTGAGTGTGAACACTTTAACCAAATAATGTGTAACTTGGTAGTGTGTTTGTGAGCGATAGCGAAATGACTGATGTCCGAGCCTTATTAAACAGAAAACTACGACGACGACAACGCCGCCACCACCACCACCCCTTCCCCACATTATTGCGCAGTTTTACGTTTGACAAGACACTCACTTTAACGTTATTTAATCCACCTCAAATCACCTCAATACATTTTAAAACATCAATTTTATCTTAACACTTGATATTTGGCCGGATAAATAGGCTACCACTGAGTAGCCTAACTCGTGAATTGCCTCAACCAGTTTCAGTGACAATTCAGTTGCTTTACAAGCCATGATATGTTATTATAACAACTTCATACAGCGATTAGCATCCTGTAGACGTAAATATATTCGGTTCTTACCTTCTTATATGCCATATAATCCACACAATCCACAGAAGTTTTTTCTTTTCCGTCTTCTTTTTCCAACCGTCGTCTAGTGAAAAAGGCGGGTTGCGCACGCCACGCCCAAACAGGATGTTGAAATCAACTGTGCCAGGAGTGAATGTAACTCAGTCACAGGTGTAAACAATTCACTCGCTTAATTGACAATGCTCACAGAGCTTTTTTATCACAACAAGTGTTAAAACAACACCAAAATCAACACCCACCAACTCAAAATTATTAACACTGAAAAAAGAACGCTATAGATTTTGCTATGTGTTTAATCTGTGCACAGAACAACCCTGGTAAGCCAAGGCCTCTGACACAGCAAGCAGCTCACCCAGCACCTACAAGACCGTTTGAACATGTCATGATGGACTTTATTGAATTAACACCCAGTGAAGGGAAAAAATATTGTCTTGTTATGGTGGGTTGAAGCTCTCCCTGCAAAACATACATCCTCCGCTGCAGTAGCAAAAGCCATTTTAACTGAAATTCTTGTGAAATGGGGAATTCCCCGGAAATTGTCCAGCGATAATGGGTCGCATTTTGTTAATGAAGTGATAAAACAACTGTCTGATTATTTGAAATTTGATTTGAAAACTCACTGCAGCCATCACCCACAATCTGGTGGAGCTGTGGAGAGAGAGAATTTCACAATAAAATCAAAACTGGCCAAATTCTGTCAGGAAACAAAACTTAGTTGGCCAAAATGCTTGCCAATTGTCCTGATGTACATGCGGATGAGAGTGCGCGCGCAAAACAACCTGTCCCCATTTGAGATTTTGTTTGCAGCTCCCCCCAACGTAGGAATGGGAACTGCGGGACCTCAACCAGATGCCATCCTGTGCGAAGATGGCATGGTAAGGTATTGTATAACCCTAATAAAGTCTCTTTCTGACATCAGACGACAGGTGTCATCGGCCCTTCCCCAGCGTGCGGATCATCCACTTCACAACATCCAACCCAGTGACTTCGTCCTGATAAGGAACTTCAAGCCCAAAAGCTGGAGTCACCATCGCTGGCTTGGCCCATTCCAAGTTCTTGTTGTCACCCACACCTCTGTGAAAGTCCAGGAGAGGCAGACTTGGGTCCACGCGTCGCACGTCAAACAAGTCCCAGCTCTTCTTGCGGAGCGCACAATGGAAGCGTAAGGAGGGGTACACCTTACCCCCTCCCAACGTGAAAGGAGGGTCACACGCACACACTACCCCCTCCCAACATAAAACATTGTTAGAAATACATTGTTAGCTGCATCAGGAGAAAAGTGCTGGTAACTACACTCCTAGGTCATAGATGAGCAGAAGATAGGTAACACAAAGAAGATTAACAAGTGCCAATCCATGTCCAAGATGAGCGACGAAAGGGAGGACGGTCCCTGGCATCCATTCAGGCAGCAGGGGTTTTGCGGGATGAGAAAGACTTTGTGTGTGCTTATTACGTGCCAGAAAGTCCAGGGTGAGAGCACGTAACGTCTGTTGTGAGTAACCGGGTGTGGAATGATGTAAACAAATGAGGGTGAGGGGTTGTGGACTATACGTAGAAAAATAATAGGTTTATTTACAAAAAATCAGGGTCAGTGCATCAACAAAGGTTCGGCGCTGGACGCAGACGTAAGCTCTTAGTTGGGCCTGGGGCCTTTTTATGCCTAGGCAGATTGACCTCCAGCCAATGGGTGGTGCGGAGGCGGCACAGAGCTGAAGGGGGTGGAGGCAAGGAAAACTACTAACAGCAAGGCCCATAACACCTCCCCCCACAAAACAAAACACCCAGAAAGCTAAAACTAGAATTAACCAAAATCCCACCTTCTTTGAGAACGGGAGAGCAACCCAAAAACAGGGCTAAAACAAGTACACATTACCAAATTCAGTGGCTAAGGAAGAGCCACAGTAGTAACCCAACCACAGTACGTACGGTGCATTGAAAGGATAGGGGTCTCCACCACCACGCATGGAGTGGTGATGACGAACCACAGATCACCATATCACAAATAAATCACATGTCGGTCAGCCACGGAAAAGGATGTTGCTGCCGATCACCACTTGCGATTCAAGCGGTGATGGATGTCCTCAGTCTCGCGATAGGGCATCAGCCACAATATTCTCTGCCCCCTTCTTGTGATGGATGGCAATGTTGTACTCCTGGGTGAGCAGGGCCCACCGCATCAGCCGTTGGTTCTGGTTATACATCTGCGCCAGGAATACAAGGGGATTGTGGTCTGTAAACACTGAGACTGGGACATTAGTAGAGCCAACATAAACATTAAAATGCTGGAGGGCTAGGAGCATTGCCAGAGTTTCTTTCTCGATGGTGGAGTAGTTGAGCTGGTGCTTCTTGAACTTCGCCGAGAAGTAGGATACAGGATGAGGGACCCCAGCATCGTCATCTTGTATGAGCACAGCACCAGCTCCAGTAGCACTAGCGTCCACCTCCAGACTAAATGGCGTTGTATAGTCCGGCGCAGAGAGGACAGGAGCACTGCAGAGAAGAGACTTAGCAGCCAGGAATGCACCTTCACACTCTGCGGTCCACAGGAAAGGGACAGCAGGACTGCACAGGGCAGTGAGAGGGGTTACTAGAACAGAGAAGTTCTTGCAAAAACACCGGTAGTACCCTGCCAACCCTAAAAAACGGCGCAGCTCCCTACGGCTGGTTGCTGGGGGATATGCGAGCACAGCCTCAACTTTCGCATCCACAGGCCTCACCTGTCCATGGCCAACAACCTTCCCAAGTAGGTGACAGAGGCCTTGGCAAACTCACACTTTGCCAAGTTCAGCGTTAGATTTGCTTTGGAAAGACGACAAAAAACCTCAGACAGAGTCTGGACATGGTCAGACCAAGTATCTGAGTAACACACAATATCATCCAAGTACACATTACACTTGGGAACATCACTCAGGACTACATTAAGCGCTGAAATGTGGCAGGCGCATTCCTCATGCCAAAAGCCATTACAGTATACTGCATAAAATGGTCAGGTGTCACGAATGCAGAAACTTCAGACGCTCTGGCTGTCAGGGGAACCTGCCAGTAACCTGCAGTACACTGCAGGGCCAATATTGTCAATGCAGTCTTCCATTCGTGGTAGAGGGAACGAGTCTGCTACTGTCACAGCATTGACCTTCCTAAAGTCCGTGCAAAAACGAAGAGTGCCATCTGATTTGGGGGCAAGGAGGCATGGAGAACTCCAGGGGCTATGGCTGGGTTTAGCAAGGCCATTGGCTACCAGGTAGCTAAGGCTCCTTCTTCATGGCCTCCCGCTTGGTCATAGGGCAGCAATAGACATGCTGCTTGATAGGATACGCGGAGCCTACATCTATGTCATGCTCTAACAGAGGGCTTCGAGATTGTGTGTCACCGAACAATGACGGATAGCCCTGCACAAGAGCAAGGATGTCCCTGTATTGATCTGCACTGAGATAAGCCAGATTGGCGCCTAGACTGGACATATACTCAGAGTTCGATAACCTTCCACTCTGTTGTGCAACACATGGCTCCACTAAATCCTCAAAACTCTCCGAACACACAGCCGACACACAGGGCACAGCTAGCATGGACTGTGCTGGCCCCTCCTCCCCCCGTACAACGAAAGGCTTCAGCATGTTGACTTGCCATAGTCTCGTCTTCCTCCTTCGCTCCGGGGTAAGGATGAGATATGTTGTGTCAGACATTTTCCTCTCAACAACATATGGGCCAGAGAAACGGGCAGAAAGGGCAGAACCAAGGGTTGGGAGTAACACTAGGACTTTTTCATTCCAGCCTGGGAGGAGGCAAGCGCTTCCCTCGCTAACGAGGTAGCCCACTGCAACCGCTGCTTACAGCTTGATACAAAATCGGATGCACTCCTAACAGACTTTGGCATGGACAATAGCTGTTCCTTGAGCACTTTTAGCGGCCCACGCATGCTGTGACCGAAGACAAGTTCGGCAGGGCTGAACCCGAGGGATTCTTGGATAGCATCCCTAACAGCAAACAACATAAAAGGAACACCCTCATCCCAGTCCTTTCCTGTCTCTAAACAGAACTTGCTCAGCATAGATTTCAGAGTCTGGTGCCAACGTTCCAACGCACCCTGAGACTCTGGGTGATAAGCACTGGCCACAGAATGAACAACCCCAAACGACTGCAGGGTCTCCTCGAAGACTTTAGACAGGAAATTAGTTCCCTGGTCAGTCTGTACAACCCTAGGCAGACCGAAGGTACTGAAGAATTTAGTAACAGCTTTAACAATAGAAGGAGCCGTAATTCTGCGCAGTGGGATCGCCTCAGGGAAACGAGAGGCAACACACATAATGATTAACAGGAACTGGTTACCCATCCTGGTCTTTGGCAGAGGGCCAACACAGTCCATAATTACATGCTCAAAAGGTCCTCCAAGGGCAGGAACAGGGCGCAGGGGAGCCGGCGGTACCACCTGGTTTGGTTTTCCCACGGACTGGCAGGTAGTGCAGGTCTTACAAAAAATAACCACATCAGCTTTTAGACCTGGCCAAAAGAAATGTTGGAGAATGCGGTTATACACCAAGATGGCCGGACCACAAGTGTTCATGCGCTAGAGACAATACATGGTGCCTGTAATTCTTGGGAACAACTATTTGGAAAACAGTACATCAGTCATTAGTGTCAGTGTTACCTTCCCGAGGAACCCACTTGCGCATCAGAACACCCTTGTCAAGAAAAAACTGAGTCTGGTAAGCTGGGCTGTCTAAAACAGAAAAACATTTTTGTAGAGTCTCATCGCCCTTTTGAGCCTCAATCAAAGCGTCACAGGTGAGGGGAGGGGACACAGAGGTGGTTGGCTCCGACTTCTCACTGCTAGCCTTCGTCCTGGCGCGCTTCCCATGTCGTCCACACGGGGGCGCACTAACACCAGAGAAGACGGGAGCAAGCACAGAATCACACAAATCAACATCACCCTGTTCCTCCGCCAACTTTTTAGACTGAGCGCGAGTCAACACACACACTGAAAACAACTCAGGGTGTTTCTCAGCCAATTCATCCCTCCCAATGCTGATAACAGGGCGAGAAACTACTTCAGGGGAGGGATACACTTTCCCACCTGCGATATCATTCCCCATAATAAACTCCACCCCATCAATAGGAAACTGATCGCGCACAGCGACAGGGAAAACTCCACTGACCAAGTTGGACTCAATACAGACGTTATGCAGTGGAGCGGGTACATAACTAAGGCCGATCCCCTTCACTATTGTGCTTAGACGACAGTCTGTCTGCGGGCCCAAAGGCAGGACACCAGAGAGAATAAACGACTGGGTGCCACCCGTGTCACACAAGACTTTAACAGGGCGCTTAACTCCTCCTAGGACAGAAACAAACGCCTCAAAAATGAAGAGCATAAAACAGTCATTACACTCTGAGATAGAACAAGCTGGCCCAACATTAGTAGCAGCCTTGTGCGTGAGAGAGAATTCATCGGCTAAAACGGCCACCTGCTGGAGCGTGGTGATTTCTGTTCGTTTAGATACACAACGACGCGCTCAGAGAGACAGTTCTTAAATTTCTCGATAAGAAACAACTCACGTAGCGCCTCTACAGTACCAGCTTTACTTGCAGAGCACCACCTGTCAAACAGCAGCCCCTTCTCATGGGCAAAATCCACATAACTCTGGTTAGGTGATTTTCGGAGTCCTCTAAAACGCTGCCTATAAGCCTCGGGCACCAGCTCATACGCACGCAAAATAGCACTTTTTAGACTGTCATAGTTCAGACTGTCCGGTACTGACAACGACGCACATGCTTCGGATGCCTTGCCACTCAATTTACACTGTAACAAAATTGCCCACACATCCCTGGGCCAGTGTAAGGCACTCGTAATACGCTCAAAAGCACCGAAATACGACTCAACTTCGGACTTGCGGAAAACAGGGACAAGTTGGATGTTCTTAGTCACATCAAAGGAGTCACACGCACTGACCGCAACAGGCGAAAATGGAGCTGGACCGCGACCCACTGCCTGCAGCTCCAATTGCCTCATCCGAAACGCAGTGTCAGCTTCCAACCTTCTAAACTCAACCTCACGAGCAGTGGCTGCCTCCAGCTCAATGCGCTTTAACTCGAGCTCACGCTTGAGCTGGAAGTCACGCTCTTTCTCCTTCCTCTCATTTTTGAGCCGCGCAAGGCGCACATCACGAGGAGAATGCACACTCAAAGTAGGAGACGAGACACCAACCTTTACTTCAGCCTTCTCAAACCTCAAACAAAACTTTTGGAGAGCCCATCTGTGGCTGCGGAGCATCCGCGCTCTCCCCAAGACGCACGGGGAATGCCACTGTGTCTTCCGCGGTCGCTCCTCGCTCCGGATTGCTCGACTTAGGCAAGACCAAAACTTCACTGGCAACCAAACTTGCCAATACAGCCTCCCTCAACTCTCCCACGCGCAGCGTAACCGACACGGGGATGTCGTAATGCCGGGCAATCTCCAGCAAGTCAACTTTTCTACACGAATCCAACACATCACTCGTTGGCTCAGCCACGAAAGCACCCAGATCAAACGTAGCCATATCACTCACCAAAATCACCAATCCAAGCCACAGCCGATCCCACTCACGACCAGGCTACACCTGCTGACACTTTGCCAATCTACACACTTCACCAGGAATGTGCCGTGCGCGCGCTTCTGACACAGCCGCGCGCAAACCACACACACACTCACACACGCCAGAGACAAAAAGGAGAGCTTATGCAAACCCTGATGTTGATACGCTGAAGAAATACGTTCCGACATCCATTCTTACCACTCCTATTTTGGACATCAATTGCTTATGTATTTTGCATAAACTATGTATAATTACATTGCTTTTTTTTTGTTTTTGTTTTTTATCTCAAATGTCCAAATGATAATAATAAAAAAACATGAATCAAAACATTCATTCAGCATTAGCACGGCTGTCATGGCAATGTGAATGGAGACGGACAAACAACTGATAAAATAATTCCCTGTGTTTGCTGCTGGATTTGGTGTGAATCTGGCAACCTGAGTCAGGGAGAGTGGGAGAGGACTACAAAATATTGACTGTGACTGCAGTACCACTTTTGGCCAGATTTTAACATATTGTTCCTTTAAGTTTCTCAATGAGACTGTCACAGAGCGCACAGGTAAATGTCTCCCTCCACTCAAACCGGCTGTTAAACCTTTAAGCGCCAAAGTCGCAATATTGCGACAAGCAACATTGCTCACTTAAACAGGCTGTATGTAAAAATGTGGTGCAGAATCTTGTTAATACTTTTCACCAGGGGTTAGTGGACATGTGTGCCTGTAATATGAACAGCATTTGTGGGTGTGGTTATATTGAAAGTTTTTGAGTAAATTGAGTTCGTAAAACACCTGCGGCGCAGCGGTGCGGAGGCGAAGCAGCAGCAGTAGAGCTGAGAGGAGCGAGAGCAGAGCAGAGGGAGAGAGTGTTTTTTTATTTTACTCAGGAGGTCTTCGGTACCAGAGAAGTACTTGGTCTGGTACTGGCTGATTCAGATTCAGAGGAGGAAGACACGCAGGTGTCCAGTGAAACAGACACGGACATTATGTGTGACGGGGAGACCGCGCCATATAGTCCACAATCAGCCCCAGTACAGCGGCTGCTTCACCTCTGTGTGGCCGCGATAGAAGCATTCTGTGAACGCCAAGCAGGGGCCGTGGTCGAGGGGACAGGGGCATCATAACACCGGGCATGTGGGAGAAAGTAGCGGGGGTAGACATCCACGGGGAACACGGGAGAAGACGCGAGGGAGCAGCGGGAAAAAAACACATCGCTAATCGCGTTCACTGCCTTTACCAACAGCGATGATAAGGATGAAGGCAGTTCTTGAGAGAAAATAATCCACAAAAGTGGATCAGAAGTGTTGAAGAGCCTGTTGTTTCTTGTTGAGACGATCTGACATGTTCTGTGCCCATTCATTTCATCTCTCTGTTTCTAAACGATAAATCCTGGAGCATCATTTCCACTGAGAAAAATAGTAAGCCCACCACTTCTTTGAAAGGGAAATATTGAAACCAATCTCCAGATTTCATGACTGTAAACTTTAAACAAATTCATTTCATACTAAAGATATTTCACATTGACTGTTTATAGTATTCCCTGATCTCAAATGACTCCCAAGCTACAGCTTTTTGAAGTCTTTATACAATAATTAACATTTTCCAAAATGGCCGCCACCTTGATGACGTCACAATATGCAAATAAGATGACGAATCAACTTTTAAGTTTAAGTTTTAAGTTTAAGTGTGTTTATTTGGGCATCTAGAAGATACAAAATCAATGATACAAAAGAGATGCATTGAGAAGAAAAAAAAAACAATAGCCCAAAAGGGAGTTTATAGGGGATATATATATATATATATATATATATATATATATATATATAATAACTAATAACTATATATATATATATTAGTGCTGTCCAAAGTATCGCGTTATTAACGCGTTAACGCAAATCAATATTAACGGCGTCATTTTTTTTATCGTGCAATTATTATTATTATTTTTTTTATTTTTTTGTACTTTTTATTGCAGACAAACACATATACAGAAAAAAAAATAGAAACAAAGAAAAGGACTAGTTCAGATACATTGTAGACAGAGATTACAAACAATATGTAGTTGGAGATACAGGGGGCCAAAGAAGAAACCCAGAAGGGCACATAGGAGAAGTGTTGTGCGTGAACGAGTTCAAAAGAACGCGTTCATTGAACACGCTCATTTTTTCGTGAACATTGAACTGAACGCAACACATTTTTAAAAAAAGAACTTGAACGTGAATTAGTTCATTTTATGTGTCATGAACGGCAGACATCACTATGAACGTTGGAATCTGTTTTCTCTTTTAAAACGCAACGAGAGAAAGTTCCTCCCTCCTGTATTCTCGCACTTTTTCCGCCGAAATCTTAAAATTCCTACGGTTTCCACCGTCTGTGAACGCACCCCGACTCCGTGTTGCGGTGCGGCGCTGTGGGCTGGTGCTTTTCACATGTGCCCGAGTCGTGATGAAAACACAGGGTGAGTTAGCGACAAAGTTTACACCGTTTACATTTGACATAAAGTATAGACACACGCACTGCAGCGCATTACTGTTTGTAGTTTATGAGCAGAGATGGAGCAACTCCGTTTTGCTCCCATTGAAAACCATATAAATCTTGTCTGTTTTGTAGTCAAAAGGCTCTCCTCCTGTGGGTGTACAGGAGATATATATATATATATAGCTCGTAGTGTGAAAAAAATATGTATTTATCTCACGAAAAAAGTAAAATGAACTGAACTTTGAACTAGTTCAGAATTAAAAATGTGAACTTTGAACGTGTTCTGTTCACTTTGAGCATGTATGAACTGAACTTGAACTAGTTCATAAAAGCTGTGAACTGGCACAACACTGCATAGGAGGGGGGGGGGACATGAAGTGGGAGATGGGGGGGAGGGGTTAATAAAAAAGGCAATACAAGCAAACAGTATACATGACTTTTTAGGTTCTTCTAATAAGACAATTAAAGCAAAACAAAGCTAGTGCTGCTTAATTACCTGACATGTTTCGGCGGTACACTTCCGCCTTCATCAGAGGTGACACGTGATGGTGTGACGCGTCTCTTATCAGCTGTTGTTGCCGGAAGCAGTCAGTCTGACAGATCTCACAGATCCATCAGACTGACCGCGTCCCCCGCCGCGCTGTGGTCTCTGGAGAAGTGAGTCCCAAGTGTGAGCCAAGGTGAAAGCCCCCTCGTCTCTGTTGATGGTCCGTGTTCCCCGCTTCGTGTTCCCCGCTTCCACACCATCACGTGTCACCTCTGATGAAGGCGGAAGTGTACCGCCGAAACATGTCAGGTAATTAAGCAGCACTAGCTTTGTTTTGCTTTAATTGTCTTATTAGAAGAACCTAAAAAGTCATAAACATAAGAAGACAAAATGAATTTTCTACATTTAAACAGTATACAGTCATAGATATACCGAAAGTAAACAGAAACAGCATAGAGTATTTACATGAACAAATTTACAAAATATTTACAGATTGTTTATCATCATAATGACACCATGATGTTTCTATACAGTCTATGGTCTATACCCACACACACACACACACACACACACACACCCACACACACAAATGTGTGACTAATTTGCGATTAATCGCGAGTTAACTATGAAATTCATGCGATTAATCGTGATTAAATATTTTAATCGTTGGACAGCACTATATATATATATATTCCAACAGAATGAAAGGAATATTGGGAACAATAGCAGACGTTGAGGGCAGTTACAAGTATCTCGGTATACCACAGGCAAATGGCAACCTCGAACAGGTGACGAGGAAAGCGGCAACTGCCAAATACCTCCAGCGAGTAAGGCAGGTCCTAAAAAGCCGGCTCAATGGCAAGAACAAGGCCCGGGCAATTAACAGCTACGCCCTGCCAGTGATCAGATACCCTGAAGGAATAATCAGGTGGCCAAAGGAAGAGATTCAGACCACAGATGTTAAAACTCGAAAGCTCCTTACCATGCATGGCGGGTTCCATCCCAAATCCAGCACCCTGAGACTGTTCGTAAGCCGTAAAGAAGGAGGCCGAGGACTAGTGAGTGTGAGAGCCACTGTCCAGGACCAAACATCCAAACTCCATAACTACATCATGGAGAAGGCCACAACGGATGACGTACTCAGTGAATGTCTCAGGCAGTGGCGAGATGAGGAGGTGCTGGAGGAGAGCCCATCATGGGAGAACAAGCCCCTACACGGCATGTACCACCGGAGCATAACAGAAGTGGCTGATCTCAAGAAGTCCTACCAATGGCTAGAAAGGGCTGGCCTACAGGACAGCACAGAGGCACTCATCATGGCTGCACAGGAACAGGCCCTGCGCACCAGAGCGAAAGAGGCCCAGATATACCACACCAGACAAGACCCAAGGTGTCGGTTGTGCAAAGAGGCACCTGAGACGATCCAACACATAACTGCAGGGTGCAAGATGCTGGCAGGGAAGGCCTACATGGAACGCCATAACCAAGTGGCTGGCATAGTGTACAGAAACATCTGTGCAGAGTATGGGCTGGAAACCCCAAGGTCTAAGTGGGAAACTCCTCCAAAGGTGGTGGAGAATGAGCGTGCAAAGATCCTGTGGGACTTCCAGATACAGACCGACCGAATGGTAATGGCGAACCAACCTGACATCGTGGTGGTAGACAAAGGGCAGAGGACAGCCGTGGTGGTGGACGTGGCAATTCCAAGCGATGGTAACATCCAGAAAAAGGAACATGA